TGAGGACTTCTGCTTTCAGCTCAGAGAGATACAGAAGTAGAGACAAAAGCCCCTTTCTAACAACAGAACTGGGAAGACAGCAAAATAATGACATTTCTGAGGACCTCTTGGAGAGCAGAGATCACAGGACAAGGTGACTCCTTGGACCTGGAGAGAAACTGATGCCTTCGAGGAGACAAAGGGTCCAAGGCTCGCTTACCTGGGCAGAAGCCTCCGGACTAGAAAAACAAAATGAAAACTTTGACAAGTTCCTGGAGAGTCGCGCGGGCAAAGTGTGAAGTCAGACAGATGCTCCACCCTTTGAAAGGTGTTTCCACCAAGAATGAGACCGGGCTCTCGCAGGCAGGGTGGTGCTCTCTTTAGTGCTGGCCCTTCTCACATCCTCTATGAAAAGATTTCCTACACGGGGCAGGTGGGCTGAGGCCCGCCGCCTCGGACGCTGGTGAAATAGCACCAAGCGGAGAAGGGGACTGCTCTGCCCAGACGCACGCTGCTTCTCTCCTCTCTTTCTAGACAGCATATGCATTCGCCAGACAGAGAGAGGGAGAGGAGAAAACCCTCTATGGAGAATGGTCATGCCACAATCCCTTCTCCTCCATCTCTCCCCCCTTTGGGAATTTTGGGCACACGTGCACACGTGCCAGTGTGTTTCTCAAACCACCGGGTTCGGGACTTGCACTGTGCAGTCAGCCAGTGGGATCCGGCTGCCTTGACTACAAGGCATGGAGCAGCACGGTTCTCATCTGTAGAGAGCAGCCCCGCGACTGCAGAGGGGGACACCAGTGGGTGTCTGCAGCTGGGGAAGAGCAGGGACGATGGCCTCTCTTTCTGGAGAAGCAGGAACACCTGTAAAGCCACACCCTTGAAAGGCAGGCCCACCACACAGTGCAGTTCAAAACCGGAGGAGCTGGGCATTCGAGAGCAGCCACCCTCCAAGGCCCCACCAACAAGGCTCCCACAACTGCACAGGGAGCAGCGGGGAACAGGCTGGGGAGCGGCACCGAGGGGGACAGGCTCGGCTCGGGGAGCGGCCCCAAGGGAAGACTCAGAGCCAAGCAGTGAGACAGAACCGAGAGCACTGGAGTTCAAGGTCTCTGGTGCCCGTAGCAACAACTGACCTCACAGGCCACTATGACAGCAATGGACGTCAAACACAGCCCTGTTCATGACCAGATCACTACAAACCCTTATTGCCTCTATAAGTGCTGCCCCATACTCTCTGTCCAGCTTCAAGAATAAGGTACGAGGCGTACTAACAGGGAAGAAGTCCGGAGACACAAGCCAACGCCAGAGCCAAACGCACGTGGCACAGATGCTGGAACTAGACAGTTAAATGGTGGTGATTAGGGAACAGCAGGTGGAGTAGCAGTTATGCCACTGGACTCCCACTGGTGGCTTGAAAATCACACCGGTGTGTCTGCATGCGCCCAAGACCCCGGGAGGAGAACGGAGGTGAACGGAGTGGGGGAGTGATCTCTCACTTTCCCCTTCTCTGTGCCTGTCTCCCACTGCCCCCTCCAGGCACACCCTCAGGCAAAAACCTCTTAAAAATAATATGACTAAAATGTTAAAGGTGCTAATGAAAAAGGCAAACAGCATGCAAGATCAGATAGGTAATTTCAGCAATGTCAGCTCTAAGACTCAAATGGAAAGGCTGAAAATCAAAACCAGGATAATAAAAAAAAATTCAATGTGGTCATCAGTAGGACATCCTGCCTAGCAAAGGAGCAGCGGGTTTGATGATGAAACAGTACCAACTCTACAATGCAAAAAGAACACAGCTGGGGCTGGGGCCAGCAGGGGGCAACACAGCTGGGGTGCTGGACTCCCACATGGCCGACAGTGGTTCGAGTCCCGGACCTGGCACTTGCTTTCTCACCCCTGCTCCCAGCCCTCTGTCTCTCTTTGGCGAGCGCATGTGCCCTATAGCACATTTCTAAAAATAACAATAAATGAAATAAATATGTTTTTAAAAAAAGAAAACAGTGGGACGAAAGACCCAAACAGCAGTATCTAAGAGCTGTAGGGCAACAGCGAACAGTATAACATGTGTGCAACGGAATTCCAGAGGGAGGGAAGAGAACCAGGGCTAAAGAAATCACCACAAGGAACATCAATTGTCTTTTCCTAGATAAACTGAAAAAATCATAATCCAGCTTCTGGGAACAGTATATAGGTGATGTTTAGACCCTAGGAGTAAAGAGCTATCAGAAATGAAAACGTGGGACCAGCAGTTAGCGTAATAGCTATGTCGCTGGACTCCTACGTAGTCGACCATGGTTCAAGTCCCGGACCTGGCGGCTTAAACTCACACCGGGCACATGTGCGTGCGTGGCCAAGATCCCGAGAGGAGAATGGAGGAGAAGGGATTGTGGCGTGGCCATCCCCCCTGGGGGGTGATTTCTCACTTTCTGTCTCTCTGTCTCTCTCTTTCTGGCGAGTGCACGCGCCCTATAGCAAAAACCTTTCAAAAAGAAAAAAAAAGAAATGAAAACCTCACCATCTCAAAAGGAAAAGACTAATGAATGAGACATGACGATCTAAAGCCTGTGTAAGAAAAGACACCATGAACAGTGCTGAGTAAACCGTAAGAAATCTGCAACATAAATACCACAACACCCAGAATGTACCCTGAAAATAAGGAAAGGACAAACCAACGGAAAAATGGGCAAAGGTTCTGAAAGAGCCATTCCGACCACAGGTAAGGCCATGTGGTGGGATCTTGCGAGTTTTCCTCATTAGTCACCCTGCCCCTGGCAGCAGTGACTGAGACAGCCCGCTCTCCGTGAGGATGGGAAGAGGAACTCACAGCAGAAAGAACCTTATGATGTTTACTTATCTAAGGCCTACACCTTCCCTAGTAACAAAAGAAAGACAGATCAAGATTGGTAAATATAAAAAGACTGTCTCAAATTTGAGAGAATAGAGGGACCAGCAGTTAGCGTAATGGCTGTGTCGCTGGACTTCCATGTAGTCAACCGCGGTTCGAGTCTCGGACCCAGTGGCTTAAACTCACGCCCAGCGCATGTGCGTGCCCAAGATCCCAAGAGGAGAATGGAGGAGAAGGGACTGCAGCGTGGCCATCCCCCCTGGGGGGTGATTTCCCACTTTCTGTCTCTCTGTCTCTCTCTGTCTTTCTGGCAAGCGCACGCCCCCTATGGCAAAAACCTCTCCAAAAAAAAAATTTGAGAGAATAGAGAAAAAGGTACCTTAACATCATTGTTGAAATGATAAATTAGTAAAATTTTTTAAAAAGATTATTTTATTTAACTTTATTAATTTATTTTTAATTTGACCAGAGAGGGACAGAACAACAAAGAGAGAGGGAAAGTGAGAAAGCAAGTTGCCAGGTCAAGACTTGAACCGCAGTCGCCCATGTGGAAGTCCAACGCTCTCCACCAGGCCACCTGCCTGCCCCAGTAAAACCCTTTTGGGAGGAAACTTGGTGTTATCTATTAAGATTTAAATGTGCATGCTTTTCGTCCAAGAAACTGCTTCTTCCAGTACTCAACACAGAGGACTGTGTGCACACAGGTTTGGGACGCAGGTGTATGATGCTGGTCACATTAACCCTACTTGAAAGAGCATTTCAAGTGAATTAAGATGACTGTTAAATAAAGTGTGGGAGACCTATCCTATGGAATTCTCCTCATTAGTCCAGACAACGTGACAGTCTGCATTACTGAACGGAAACACCTACCTGTGAGATAGGACAATGCAGGGAGAGGAGAGCAGGTTACGCAAGTGTGGTATCTCCACCATTAAAAGGCCAATGGTGCTAAACTGAAAAGTGGGTGAAGAACTGCTACTCGGATGTGACCAAAGTACCCTCCACATGTTTGTTAACGATACGAAATAAGTACTTTGGGACCAGCAGGTGGCAAGGTGGTTAAGATGCTTCCCACATGGCTGACCATGGTTCGAGTCCTGGACCTGGCAGCTTGCTTTCTAACTCTCCCTCTCTTACTCTTTCTCTGGCATAACTCATGTGAATAATAATAATTAAGAATTAAATAAATAATAATTCTTAAAAAAAAAAAAAAGAAAACAAATAAGTACCTTTACAATGAGGAACTAGGCGGTTACTACCTTAACCTAGTGATCAAAATTAATTAACAGCAGGCATTACTGCCTCCTGACAGGACACAATATATGACATCACTGATTAACATATTCCTGCCAAAAATATTTTACCTGATTTCATCTAACTTCTAGGTTTTAAGAAATGAAAAGGATAGATGGGGCCAGCAGGTGGTATAGTGGTTAGGTAGTGGACTCCAATGTGGCTGACTAGAGTTCAAGTCCCAGACCGGGAGGCTTGAAACACCTGGGCCTGTGTGCGTGCATGCCCAAAATCCCAAGAGAAAAATGGAAGAGAAGGGACTGCAGGGTGGCCACTGCCCTGAAGGATGATTTCTCTGTTTTGTCTCCCAACAAGCACATATGCCCTATAGCAAAAATCTCTCCCTTTAGATATAAGCTTATTGTGGTCATTAGAAAAAGGCCTTATTTTCTGGGGAGCTGTAGGCAGATACGCTGACATTTAGGAGTAAAATGCTTTTGCATTTGTATAAAATAGCAAAGAAGAAAGTCTAGGGGAAACCAGCAGTTAGCGTAATGGCTATGTTGCTGGACTCCCACGTAGTCGACTGCAGTTCGCGTCCCAGACCCGGTGGCTTAAAACTCATGCCGGGCGCGTGTGCGTGCGTGTCCAAGATCCCGAGAGGAGAATGGAGGAGAAGGGATTGCGGCGTGACCATCCCCCCTGGGGGGTGATTTCTTGCTTTCTGTCTCTGTGTCTCTATCTATCTGGCGAGCACATGCGCCCTATAGCGAAAACCTCTAAAAAAAAAAAAAAGAAAGAAAGAAAGTCTAAAAGACAAAAGGTATTGAGCAAAGAAAAAAGTCAATAAGCAAAACATGCTAAGTGTGGGTGTCATTGTGGTGTTTTTCCAGACTTGCTGAATTAAAGCTCAAGTGCACTAAATATGTATGTCTACAGGAAAACTACATTCGTGGTGACTGGAGCTGGTTCACTCTAGAGAGGACTGGAACTGGCCAAATGGGTGCTGAAGGCAGGTCACACACACAAGAAAACATAAGCCCAGTGGAACCCGTGGGCAGTGCACTCACCTTAACATACTCAACCGCTCGTGGAGAAAAATCACAGGCATAAGCAAAGATATTCCGATCTTCTTCTAAAAGCGGGAATAAACAGTTCCCGACTCCACAGCCAGCTTCGAGAACAGTCAATTTCTGATCTTCAAACTGGGGAAAGGGGACCCAAAGTTACAGTACATTACTGTTAAATAAGGAAGAAATGAACCTAATGAGGGCAGAATGTAAGAGACAAGGAAGGTCTCTGACTCACTGAGCAGACAAGTCACGTGAACTAATAATAAGCAAAAGCTAACACTAGTACCTTTGCTGTCATCCAACATCGGAGTTTGGTGTGGAGAAAAAACACAGCAGGATGACTAAATGAACAGGCTCTAGAGCTAAACTTCCTGCATTCAAACCCCAGTTCCCCCCACCCTGTACTCCATCCTTACAGACTTCCTAGACAGCTCGGGGCGTCGATTTCACCTACCAATGTGAACACTCCATTACACTCCGAAGATCATAAAAAGGCTTAAATGAGAGGACACGTATAGAAAAGGGCCATGGTAAACACGGCTGGTTAACATTACTATTATTATCTCCACATATCACTGAAGTCGCTCAATATGAATTTAGTATTTAACATTTCCCACTTTCAGATTATCTTGAAAGAAACAAAATACCACCGAAGTTCCCTCTCCTATGAATTAAGCAACCTGGAAACCACCCAAACTGCGTGAGACCAGACGTCTCTGTAAGGGGAAGGCTGAGGCTCAGATTCTCTGCTAGGCAGTGGCGGAGAATGGAGAAGGCCCCCTGTCCCAGGCCTGGAAAAGCAGAGCGCAGGTGGGCTGTGACAACGCTTACCTCCCTACAC